CATCTGTAATGAGGTCTGGTGCCCTCTTCTGGCCTTCAGGCATACACACAGACAGAATATTGTATACATAATAAGTAAATAAATAAATATTAAAAAAAAATATAGCCAGGACCATGTGTGTCTGTATGCCAACATGCTCCTGCCATGATAATGGACTAAACATTTGAAAATGTTTCTAATAAATAAATGTTAAAACGGGCTGGAGAGGTGGTTCAGCGGTTAAGAGCACTGGCTGCTCTTCCAGAGGTCCTGAGTTCAATTCCCAGCAACCACATGGTGGCTCACAACCATCTGTACTGAGATCTGGTGCCCTCCTCTGGCATGTGGGCATACATGGAGGCAGAATGTTGTATATATAATAAATAAATCTTTTAAAAAAAATATCCTTTTAATTTATCTATCAAGGATTGTTGTGCATGGTTTTAACTGTTTTGCAGATGTTAACTAATTGAATTGAATCCTCACAACCCCTGAGAGAGGTACTGTTTTCCCTATTTTACAAATGGATAATTAAGGCACACAGATGTAGTTAGATGGGACCTTGATTTGAACCTGATAGTTTGTCTCCAGAATGTATATTTGTTTGTTTGTTCTTTTTCCAGATAGGGCCTTATTATGTAGCCCTGTCTGGGCTGGAACTTGGTATATAGACCAAGCCAGCTTTAAACCTGGTAATTCACCTGTCTCTACCTCAAGTGGTAGGATTAAAGGTTGTGTCATCATGCCCAACTATTCTTATCTACCACGATATGCTGGGTTTTTTTTTTTTTTTTTTTTTTTTTTGGTTTTTCGAGACAGGGTTTCTCTGTGGCTTTGGAGCCTGTCCTGGAACCAGCTCTGTAGACCAGGCTGGTCTCGAACTCACAGAGATCCGCCTGCCTCTGCCTCCTGAGTGCTGGGATTAAAGGCGTGCGCCACCACCTCCCGGCCCACCATATGCTGTTTTACCTAAAACATCTTATATTTACCCTCTTTCTAGCTTAGTTTTGAAATTTAATCTGCCTCTATGGCTTCTCATTTATGTGTTTGTTCATTCATGTATGTGTGTATTTGGTAATGGGATTGAGCCTAGAGCCACCAGCCAGTTCCCAAATAGCCACATGGAGACTTATTAATTATGAAAACTTGGCCAATAGCTTACGCTTGCTTCTAACTAGCTCTTATAACTTAAATTAACCCATTTCTGTTAATTTACTTTCTGCCCCATGGCTTTATCACCTTTGCTCTGTACTGCCTACGCTGCTTCCTCTCAATTCTGGCATCTTCCTGTGTCTCTGCCCTTCTTCTCCTTCACAATATTCTTTCTGTTCTAAAAATCGTGCCTAGCTATTGATCATTTAGCTTTTTAATAAACCAAACAGTGTAAATGAATATTCCACAACATTTCTCCCTTTTGTCTAAATAAAAAGGAAAGGTTTTTAACTCTAACACAATAAAACTATAAACAATAAGAACAAGTATCGGGTAAGAATTACATTTACAATGTCTAGTCCATTTGTATTTGGCATATTTGGAAAAATACTCCATTATTTATTCTATCTTGATGAGTCCAAAGCTCTGTACCTAATTTACCTTCCATCATAACTAAGGAAAACTACAACTGTTACCCCCTATTCTTCAACCCCATTAAAGATCCAAGAAGGATAAAATAGTACTTGAATAAACAGAAAATGCAGAGCAAGCAACTTTCAAAACTAAGAAATGACAGAGACATCTCGCTGCCTGGACAGTCGCCCCAAGGCTCCTCTGCAACATTGGAGCATCCTTCTTCAGCCTGCAGGCCTAGAATAGCTGACAGACTTTTCTGTGAAGCATGAATTTTGAAGGACTGTCCTACCCTGTCTGGACAATTTTGGCAGTCACTTTTCTTTGTGTCCTGCTGGTCCAGTTTGGACAGCATACTGTCAGCAGTCAAGACAAAGGCAGTTTCTTGTCCAAATAGCTAGCTTTGCCACAAAGAAAGTAAACTCCATATGGAGGTGCCCATCATCAACTTTTGAAGTAAATTGGTGCTACCAGGAGCAGAAATGTGTGTCACAAAAAGCCTTATGTTACTAAACATCTTAAATGCCATATTCTGTAGGTCTCTGAATCATTTGAAGACCACCTATCTATCATATATATATACATATATATATGTTTGATCTTGAAAACATACCTAATATGACTACAAGTTTGATTGCTATAGAAGACTAACTTACTAACCTGCATTTTAAAAATTATCTTAAACAGTTTGTAATAATAGCTTTCAAGAACTAGAACTTTATGTTATATTTTTAAATGAGCTGCACAGGTACAATACCTTAAACAAGAATATAAACACATATACAAAATAACATAAATTTGTATCAATATACAAAAAATCCATAACAGTGTAAAATATTTGAGATGAAGAGTTGTCTTTATCCTATTTTCCTACATCCCCACTAACAATCATCCTTGATCCATGGAATGACTAAAAACCACCCACCCCACCTCTTGGGAATGTGGGCATTATGTCCTCTAGACTGCTTCCTGTTGTCTGGGGATGATGGAATCCCCAGGGGACCCTGAGAAAATTGAGATAATGGTCATTTCCGAAGAATACTCGCTATAACATTTGTTGTTCAGTCTCTATGTACTGGGAAAGTTCAAGGCTTATCTGAAGTCCTGTCTGGAATAGTCTGTGAGGCTGGACCACCTCAGCTAGCAGCCTTGAAGTTGTTCTGAATGCAGAACTCAGAGGAAACTGCAACAGAGGCACTCTGAGAGACTGGAGAACTTGATTTTTGTTGGTGTCTAGTTCTCTTGCTCTAAAAACACAAGCTTTCAAAGATAATACACATTTGTGCATTAACACAAGTTATTATACACAAGTGCATATTATCACAAGCCTACCAAATATGACTTTTTGTTTTATATTTGAGCAGGTAAAAGACATCTGTTAACTTTATAAGTTTGTTTGGACTCTAGCCATGCTATATGAAGGAATGACATGTGATAATAAGTCATGAGGATTCTGTAACCAACAAGATTTACCATGTGTCATCCATTCTCAGAGCTGTTCCCATGTCAAGGAATTAACATATATGTCACCTGTCTTGTAGTTTTTCTATGTTTATTTCTTTATGTCTGTAGCCAAGATTTTCAGGGGGTCTCTGCCAGTCAAATCAGGTCTCTATTAATTTTGAAGGAATCCAGAGCCTTTCACTTCCTGTGGAGACAAAAGCATAACCTCTCTCCTAAAGCAATATATTTTATGAATTCCATTTTAAAATTAAGACATCCTTAAAATATCTGGTTTAATTCAGCAGTCCTTTTACAATCCCACGCCTCTCAGCAGCTGCCATTCAAAAACTCCAAAGTCTACAAAGCACCATATAGGATCCAGACTCCCTATGTGTTTTCCATCCTAATGTGGCTTATTCTTTTTATATAAGTTTACTCTTTCTTTAAAGACTTTACTTCATTATTTTTAAACTATTTCTTTTTCCCTATGACTGTCTATACCCATTTTCTTCTCTTTCTTAAGCACCCATGTATACCTCAACCTGTTTAAAGGTTTTTTTTTTTCTTCTTAAATTTGGACGTGTTTTATTGTATCTCTGGTGTTCTTTGACCATGTGAGCCAAACCTTACACTGCTAATCAGCAACTACGCCTTCCGCTGTGCAGTTCTGCCATTTGGCTCATCCCCTTCTCAGGTCTGTGAGAGCTAAGCATTAAGCCTGTGGGCCTGGCTGAGAAGCTGCGTTTAACTGCCCCAGCTCTAGGAAGTTGGTGCCTGCACTGTGGCAGGTGTTTTTCCTTAGCTCTCTGTTTCTCCTTAGTGTGCAGCTGTTCAAGTACTCCGCTATACAACAACGCCTCTTCAAAGAGATACATCCATTTTTGTTGTTGTTGTTGTTTGTTTTTAGCTTTCTCAGGCCCCACACTGGACACCATATGTTGTTGGGATTTTCTTTGGGCTGCCAACCAGTTCCCAGATAAAGACATGGAAACTTATTATTATTTAGGGGTGCTCAGCCATAGCTTAGGCTTGTCCTGCTAGGTCTTTTAACTTAGTTTAACCTATTTCTATTCATCCACATTTTCTCTTGGGGTTTTATGCTTTTCTTTCATTCTGTAAGTCCTACTTAACTGCTTCCTTTGTGTCTGTCTGTCTGGCCAGACCCTAGTATCTCCCTGGCATCTTCCTCTCTCCTTCTGTCTCCCTTGGACTCTGTCAAGCCTAGATTCTTCCTCTTACTTATTCTCCCGGACCAGAAATCCTACCAATACCTCCTCCTTTGCTATTGGTCTTCAACTTAGGTGTCTTAGGCAGGCAAGGTAAGCAAATGCAACATACCTTTACATGGTTAAACTAATATTCCACAACATAAACAAATATATCTTTAAATTTTTTTATTTTATGTGCATTGGTGTTTTGCCTGTATGTATGCCTGTGTGAGGGTGCTGGATCCCCTGGAACTGGAGCTATAGACAGTTGTGAGTTGCCAGGTGGGTGCTGGGAATTGAACACGGATCCTCTGGAAGAGCAGCCAGTTCTCTTACGTTCTGAAAATAGCCCCTTTAAATTTTTTTTTTGTGTGTGTGTGTGGTGTATGTGAGGATGCAGGTGTCCATGGAGGTCATTAGAGGGCACTGAATCCTTCTGACACTGGAGTTACAGATAGTTGTGAACTCTGGTGTGGATGCTGAGAACCAGTCTTTGGTCTTATGCAAGAGCAGTAAGCATTCTTAACCACTAAACCATCTCTCCAGCCTCTGCAACACATCTTTACATAGTTAAATTAAATTAATATTCCACAACACCTCATTGAAATATGGTGGTTGCATTCGTCCACCATAACTGAATATATTGCTTTAAATATTCGAAGATCTCTATGATAAGCCTTGTCTGTCATACCTGGGACGCCGACATTGTCACTGCCATAAACAGGAATAAACTGTGGAAGGGGCAGATTGGGCTCTATTATTTGTGTTCTCAATATTTACCTTTGTATTTTCTTTGACCCACAGATCGGGGACCACAAGTTCAGTGCCCACCGGATTGTCTTAGCAGCCTCCATCCCGTACTTCCATGCTATGTTTACTAATGATATGATGGAGTGCAAACAGGATGAGATTGTAATGCAAGGAATGGACCCAAGGTACTAAACCCCCTGCCATTGTGCTTCCCGGGGCCAGCTCCCACCTGAGCTCTGGACCACATGAAGGTCTGCAGTAGAGTACAGTGTGCAACAGGACGACTCCATAGATGGATGAGCGCCTCAGCCAGTGACCTGAGGGAGGGGTAAATGAAAGGAAGTTTGCTTGCTTGCCAGGGCAAAAGGTGAGAGTGTGTTAGTGTGTTGGACACAGTGAGATAAGGCAGGGTTAAAGGTTAAGAGATCAGAGAGATGGAGAGGCCAGCACTCTCTGACTGGAATTTGGATTTTATTCTCCAAGAGAAAGGCCAGTCAAAATTACAAAGTTAGAAATTTCTTTCTAAAATTTACTCACAAACAACAATAATTTTTAAAAATTATAATGGCAGTAGAATAATAGTTATGGTGCCTGCTAATAAAGGCAATAAATTAGAACGTATTTAGTGTTACCATACAGCAGTCACCCAAAACAGTAAGCATAAAACCTGTGTAGCAGAATGAGAAAGGGCTTAATAAATCACTTTATGATCTGTCCAATCTTATGTGAATTGACAGTTATTTAGTTCTTGGTTTTTGTTTGTTTGTTTGTTTGTTTTGATATGGGGTGTCACTATGTAAAGCAGACTGACCTGGCTCAGACTCCTAAGTGCTGGGGTTAAAGATGCGTACCACACCTGGCTGGATGAATCTCTGAAATAGTTATTCCATTTAAATATATTCTTAGAATAGATTTTGCTTGTTTTCCAATGTAGTCTCACTGTTGACTAGGCTGGACTTTGAACTTGGAATCCTCCTGCCGTAAACTCACAGTGTTAGAATATAGGCATGTGCTCCACACTCAACTCAGCTACATGGATTTTTTTTTTAAATATTTATTTAAATTGTATACAATATTCTGTGTATATGCCCGCAGGCCAGAAGAGGGCACCAAACCTCACTACAGATGGTTGTGAGCCACCATGTGATTGCTGGGAATTGAACTCAAAACATCTGGAAGAGCAGGCAATGCCCTTAACCTCTGAGCCATCTCTCCAGCTCTACATGAATTTTTTAAAAGATTTTTTATTTGTATGTGTGTGTGACTGTTTAAGTATAACCACTTGTATGTGAGTACAGGAGAGTGTGCCTGGAAGAGGCACCTGTGGAGGCCGGAAGAGGGAATCAGGTTCCTACACTGACTTGCTCTATGGGTGCCATGGTTGCACAGTAAGCACTCTCAGCCTCTAAAGGAATCTTTGCACAGGGCGCATCTGTTCTTCAGGTAGTGTCTTAGTCACCATGACCATGGCAACTCTTATAAGGAAAACATTTAACTGGGGCTTATTAGTTTCAGAGGTTTAGTCCATTATCGTCATGACCAGAGGCAGGGCAGCACACAGGCAGACATGGTCCTGGAGAAGGAGCTGAGAGTTCTGTATCCAGATCTGCAGACAACAGGAAGAGAGAGACATTGGTGGTATTGACTTGGTCTTTTAAAACCCCAAAACACACTACCAGTGACACAGTTCCTCCAACAAGGACACGCCTCCTAAACCCGCTCAAATAGTACTATTCCCTGAAGACCAAGCATTCAAATATATGAGCCTATGAGGCCATTTTAACCACCACAGGTAGTCATATGAGTCCAGTTAGGACCAAGTGACTCCTGTGGCCAAGCCTCATCTCTGAAGAACTTCTCGTGCTTTTTATCTTCCTTCCAGTGCCCTGGAGGCTCTCATCAACTTTGCTTACAATGGCAACCTTGCTATAGACCAGCAAAATGTGCAGTCACTGCTGATGGGGGCAAGCTTCCTGCAGCTGCAGAGCATCAAAGACGCTTGCTGCACGTTCCTCCGAGAAAGGTGAGCAAAGCCGATGATGGGGATCATGCTCAGTCAGGCACCCTCTGCTGTGCTGCTGAGTCAGTAGTGTATCTGGAGTTTTCTGAACAGTGAGCTGGGTATGTTACTCTGTAGAGATGGCATTTCTTGGGATCAGTATTGTGCAGGGACCATCTCTGGGCATTTCCATAGCCCTGCCTCTTATGGCATGGCATAGACCCTTTTTGACCATCCTTCTCCAATCTGACTCTCCAGCTGTTAATTTAGTTCATTACTTCCTCTTTTGTTTATTAAATTTTTTTATTTTTTTTAATATGAGGTCTGTATTTACATCTTTTTGTTTGTTTTGTTTTTTGTTTTCCTAGACAGGGTTTCTTTTTGTAAACTTGGCTGTCCTGGACTTGCTCTGTAGGTCAAGCTGGCCTCAAACTTACAGAACTTTGCCTGCTCCTGCTTCCCAAGTGCTGGGTAAAGGCATGTGCCACCTCTGCCCAGCTTGTTTACATCATTCCCATCCCACTGCAACACCTCCCGTGCCCCCCAACTCCCTCTCTTTTATTATTTGTGTGTGTGTTTAAATACAGTCTGCTGAGTTCATTTAGTGTTGCTCATAATCTAGCTAATTTCTCACCAAACTAATTTATTAATTTATTTGGCACTCCTGAACTGTTTCATAACCATCTCCATGTTTGTTTAGATCTTAACCCTCTGTGAGTTTCTTGACTCTATACTGCAGCTCACTGAGAGCTCACCTATATTTCTGTCCCCTTCTGTCCACCGGCAGAGTGATGGCCACGGACTATGCTCCCACTATTTCTGCCCCTTGGCAAAGAATTTCCTGAGTTTTTCTGTGACCTTTAACTGATCAGATAAGGTTCTTCCTTCCCCTTAGGGGACAGCACTGTCATAAACTAAAGGTCATTTAATCTCCAGAGATTTGGAGATGAGAATTAGCGCTGGACCATACACAAGCAGAGAAAAGCCAGAAGAATGCCTGTGTATGTTGTTCTTGCTAGCCCAGTGTCCACGATCATCCCTTCCACCTCAGCTCTGGCCTCAAGGACATCATCCTCTCGGAGCTGACCTCCCCTCCCCCATCTCCACTCTACCGTCCTACTGAGAGGCTGTGGCCCCTGCAGGCTGACATCCTACTTTTGTGGTGCCCGTAGACATCACTGAGCACTGCCGTGTGCATGCCCACACATCATCATGGTCGGATGCTCAGATGCTGAGGCGCAGTCAGTCAGTGGCTGTGTTCGGTGTTGCAGATGGAAACCTTGTAGTTAGTAGCAGTGCAGCTCCAGAGCCAGGCTTGTCCCTGCCCTGGCAAGGGGTGCACACCAGGACGGACAGACGGAGACACACGCACACACGCGCGCACACACACACACACACAGACACACACACACACACACACACGGAGGGAGGACGCTTGATTGATGTCTTTGTTCTCTGGAAAATGGCTTTCAGATGGAGTCACCTTTCTTAGGCTTCATCATGGGAGGACAGCTCCACCTAGGGGCTCTTGAGGTCATCACTCAAATTCACAGTATCATAAGGCACTAACCACCATGGAGGAGCTGGACTTGGTGGCACACACTTTTAATCCTAGCACTCAGGAGGCAAAGGCAGGCACAGCCTGGTCTACAGTTCAGGCCAGGTCAGCACAGTGAGACCCTATCTTAAACAAGCAACAACCAAGATGCCAAACAATTCTTTTCTTTTCTTCTTGAGTTAAGTCTCACCATGTGACCCAGGATGGCCTTAAACTCATGGCAGTTCCCCTGCCTCCACCTCCCACGTGCTGGGATTATAGGTGTGTTCCACCTCACCTGGGCCAAAGCAGATCAGTGCAGTTTTTATTTGTTGTAGTCACATCTGAGGAACAAGTCCCTAAGCTTAAAACCTGATGGTTGGTTCGAGTCTGTTTTGAGCGTTTTCATTCATTCCTGCAGGACCTGTTCCGAGACCCAGGTCCCTTCGTCATTACTGCCTTCCTCCCCAGCCATAAGCCCCAGAGGCTTGACCTACTTTCTGTTTTCTCCCCAGTAATTACTGTTTCTGTTTCTTTGGCCTGGCTATAGAATGTGTGAGGTTTTCAGTTCCCTTCTTCCATGGACTTTTGAGAAGAAACATGTGGGCTTCATTGTTTGAAGGTGTGGTTGGGAAGGCTGCAGGGAAAACCATTTGGGCATGAGGGCACAGAGAGGCTGCAATGACAGCACAGTTCTGAGCTTGCCTGGCCTCTTGGCTCCTCTACCTGCTGCCTCCCCCAACCCAGAGGTTGCGGTTGATTTTCTTTTCTGGTCTTGTGGCCCTTTTCCCAGCCTGCGAATACATGAGCCTCCTGATTTTGTTTTTGTTTGTTTTTGTTTGGTTTGATGTTTTGTTTTTGTTTTGTTTTTGTTTTGTTGTTTGTTTGTTTGTTTTTTTTGATTGTTCAAGACGTGGTTTCTTTTTGTAGCCCTGGTCATCTTTGACGAGGCTGGCCTCAAATTCAGAGATTTGCCTACCTCTGCCTCCAGAGTGCTGGGATTAAAATTGTGCACTGAACTCAAATTCTCTAGAAGAGCAGTGAATGCTCTTAACCTCTGACCCGTCTCTCCAGTGCTTAAAAGAGATTGTTGAATAACTGAAGATGGAGTTCACGGGTAGAGTGTTTGTCTACATGTATAAGGTCTGTATTTAATCCCTGGCACCTCAAAGAAGTATAAACAGCGACTGGAGAGATGGTTCGGCAATTAGAGCACCCGCTGCTCTTCCAAAGGACCAGAGTTGAATTTCCAGCACCCACACAGAGCAGCCGTCAATTGCCTGTAACCCAACTCCGGGGATCCTGCTCCTGTGGCCTCTGCAGGCATCTGCACACGTGTACACATACTCACGCAGATATACATAGTTACAGGTGATAAAATTAAATCCTTCTAAGGTAGAATGATCCTGCAGAATGGGTATAAAAAGTCCCTAGCAAAGCCGGGCAGTGGTGGCACACGCCTTTAATCCCAGCACTTGGGAGGCAGAGGCAGGCGGATCTCTGTGAGTTCGAGACCAGCCTGGTCTACAAGAGCTAGTTCCAGGACAGGCTCCAAAGCCACAGAGAAACCCTGTCTCAAAAAACCAAAAAACAAAAAACAAACAAACAAAAAGTCTAGCAAAGTATCTTAGTCACTAAAATGATAAACTATTAATAGCTGCTGTGTTGTTTCTAGGGGGGCTGAGCTCGTAGGTTCATGGAGCCTACGTAGAAAAGGAAATGTATAATGCTCCCTGTGTCTCTTCTATGCCTTTGTGCCTTCCTGGGGCCTAGAGGTGGACTAGTGCCCTGTGTACCCTCCAAACCACAGCAGCTGGATGTGGTGACAGGGTTTCCCAGTCCGTGCTTTCCTGTCTTCTCATCTGACAGCTGCTTCCCAGGACTCCCGAGAGTCCCTCCACTTCAACATGCAGAGGGTCATGCCCCAAGAAGCAAAGACTTGAGGCTAACCCATCTTAATGTAATACTGTTAGAAGTGAGCTGTGGAGAGGGATGTCTGATGTCATAGGGGTTCCTAGAAAGCTGGGAACAAAGCAGAGCTTTTCTTCCATGGCTGTACTCAAAACTGTTTTGAGAATGATTGAAGATAGCATTACTTCCTCTTAACTTTCTCTTTTTCATCTTATAACAAAAGACTTCACCCCAAAAATTGCCTGGGTGTGCGCCAGTTTGCCGAGACGATGATGTGCGCTGTGCTATATGATGCGGCCAACAGCTTCATCCACCAGCACTTTGTGGAGGTGTCTCTGTCTGAAGAGTTCCTGGCCCTGCCCTTGGAAGACGTGCTTGAGCTGGTGTCTCGGGATGAGCTGAATGTGAAGTCAGAGGAGCAGGTGGGTGAGCACAGCAGCCATCTGTCCGGACTTCCTTCCTTCCCTCCCTGCCTCCCTCCTGCTCTCCTTCCTTTTTTTTAAAGTCTTCAAGCTAGATTTTTTTTAAATATTTATTTATTTATTATGTATACAGTGTTCTGCCTGCAGGCCAGAAGAGGGCACCAGACTTCATTACAGATGGTTGTGACCCACCATGTGGTTACTGGGAATTGAACTCAGGACCTTTGGAAGAGCAGGCAATGCTCTTAACCACTGAGCCATCTCTCCAGCCCCCCCTTTTTTTTTTAAACAAATAATGAATATACAATTTTTATGTATTGTGGGGTTTGCTTTGTTACATATATTTTTCCTAAAGACTTTATTTTAGTATCTAAATAACAGTATATTTATCAGCTACATTTCCCTTATTGTTAGAGCTTGGTTTAAGTCCAATATTTATTATTAGAAATAATATTGCCATAAACTGGAAATCAAGCACTTAGAGTTGGAGTGTCATTGTTACTGTTGTTATTGTTAACACGAGAAAAATTCTATGTCCTTGAGTGTTGATGGAACTTTCCACAGGAGGGGGGGACTTGGTGATGCAAGAGAAACGAGAAAATGGTGGCTGGATGGTATTTTGAAGTGAGAAGAATCAGAGTCTAAGCAACAGGGGCTGAGCCTTAGATTGGAACAAAAGCCATGTGCCCCATAGCAGCCCCCGCAAGAGCTGGTGTGCATGCACCCTATGGGGGAGGTGCTAGGAGATGTCTCTTTTGACATTCTGCCCTGATTGTCACACTGAGAATGAGCGTGACATCTGAGCGGAATGAAGTGTATGAGACGGACAGTGGTGGGAGATGGGGAGGGCTTGCTAGGAAGCAGGCCCTGATGACTGGATGACTGTCCCTGGGGATGTCATTTGTTGATACAGGTACAGAATAAGAGGCACACTGAATTTGAAGAGGTGGGATTTTGTGGGTTGGAGAGATGGTTCAGTGGTTAAGAACCCATTTTCTTGTCTCTTTCCCAATAAATCTCTTGTGTGACTTGGCTCCCTACTACCAGGACACTTTCTCCTCAGCGCTGTAACATTTATACCCACCCGCCTCTGCCTCCCAGGTCCTGGGCTTAAAGGTGAGCACCACCACACATACCTCCATTTTATTCTGAAAGACGGGGTCCTACTGTATAGCTCTGGCTGGCCTGAACCTTACTTTGGAGACCAGTCTGGCCTTGGACTCACAGAGATCTACTTGGCTCTGTCTTCTAAGTACAAGGATTAAAGATATGTACCACCACACCCAGTCCATAAACAGTTTTAAAGACAAAAAACTGATGCTGTTCAGAGTTTTACAGATGATGTGTTTTTAAGATGTGTGTGACACTGTGGGTATCCCCCTGAGTGTAGCCTCCAAATGGTCATCTCTTTGTGAACCTGGAAGAAGAACTCAGGGTGGAGTCCATGGGTTCTGGGCAGCTATTTTGGGGATCAAAGCAGAAGAGGCAGGTAGAGAAAGAAGAGCTATGATTGGGCAGATCTCCCAGAGGACCCAAGTTTGGTTTCCTCATGTTGGGTGACTTACAACTGCTTGTAGCTGTAGCTCCAGGAAATCCATGCCCCTCTTCTGTCATGGGCTGAGAATATAAAGAAGATAAAAAGCTGGGACTCAGATGACTTATGTAAAGTAAAGCGAGTTTATTAACAAGAATAACACTTGCCTGGCGGTGGTGGCGCACGCCTGTACTCAACACTCGGGAAGCAGAAGCAGGCAGATTCCTGAGACCTTCCTGGGAAGTGCGGTAAGCAGCGTCCTGAAGACAGCAGAGGGAGGTGGATAGTGTGGAAGAGGAGGACATAGTGACAGGTAGAGCCTCCCCTCCCTTCTCCAGCCCTAGAAATTACGAAGGATGTTGATGATGTCAAACTTGGGCGTTTTCGTACATGTTCCTGATCTCAGAAGGAAGATCTTTGAGCTAGCCATCTACAGGGACATCTTCTGCAGGGTAATCGGGATAACTGTACAGCGGGGCAGCCTGCAGGGAGATGCAGACGGTCAGCTCCATCACAACAGAGAGGGACAGGCGACCAGGGAATGGTGGGACATGGAGGCCTAGCCTCCATCCACCAGAACCCAGAGGGCCTGGGCAGACCTGAACTTGGAGGAAATGGGCTCCCACTGGCTGCCTCATGGCCAGAGAATTGGTGCTATAGAGCACCAGGCCCCTCTAGACCTCTTCCAGGCCCCTCCTCTCCTCCCAGTGGGAAAGTCTAAGCCATGCTGACAGCGCACACCACACCTTCCCACACACTTGCTGCCAAGGCCTTGCTGGCTCTGCATCCAGATGAAGATCACGTGTGTGCAGCACATACACAGCCAGTCAGTGTCTTCCAGGCCCAAGAGGAGCCCAGTGGGAGAGGATGGGGAACCTTGGGATTGGACCACGCAGTGGGAAGCCTGGAGTGACGTGGGGTGGGGGGGCAGTGAGCTGCTCACCTCTCTACTGCAATCCCTGTTGCAGATCGAGGTCAAGGAGGTTGACCACCACCTTCTGAGGAATTGACCTATGCAGTTTCGCTCCTCCTATAGGTGGGGTGGGGAAAGACACAGGAGCTAGAGGGGTCATGTCACATTTCTGAAGAGAGGCCAGCTCTGTCCTCAAACCGGAGATGCAAGCCAGAGCCAGCAAAGAGAGAGACAGTGGACAGGAGGGACAGATGCACACCCATTAATGTAAATATTCATATAAATTATTAGAAGTTATCATGTCTAGAGAGAACCATGTTTGTTGAAGGTCCTGGGTGAAGAAGACAAGAACAGCTGATGCCTGCCCCTGGGAAATGAGGTTGTGAGTCAGTAAATGTAGCCAGTGCTTTAAATCTGACTGGTAAAAGAACATTTGAAACACGTTACTCTCTGGTTCTGTTTTTAAAAAGCAACATCTCTAGGTGAGTTGTAGACACACTTTGTCATTTTGCTATTTTTTTTATGTTTAGTAGATTTTAGCATGTAATGCCTCCTCCCACACCGTTTGTGTGGCATTGGGATTCACACCCAGGGTCCTGACATGCTAAGCGAGACTACCACTGAGCCACATATTGCTGTTTCAGTAAGTCATTACAGTAATTTATAGTAAGCAAGTGCATTAAAGAGGTCTACTTTTGTTTTGTTCTCTAACTATTGTGTGGGCGTGTGTGAGAGTGCAGGCCTATAGAGGTCAGAGGGCAACTGTGGGGTCAGCTGTGGTCACATGTCAGCTCCAGGCTCCTTTATGCACTGAGCACTCAGGAACTTCCAGTTAAAACTGCTGCTGGTGATGTGGAGGGAGCCAAGGGAGGAGTAAGCGTCTGCTCCGCTGCAAGGCAGTCTAGGTGCTGGGAGAAGGCGACTCACCCTATCCTCCAGGAAGCTGCAGTTTTGATGCTGACTATCCAGGAAGGAGATGCACTCTGTCTCTTTAATCCTGAACTCCAGCGAGGCGCTGTTGGTGGAATCCTAAGGGAGCAACAGAGAACTCATGACCGTCTGTCTCTCCTCCAGGCTTGGGAGCAAAGCACAGAGGGCTTAGGGGACACTGCTGTGTCAGCCTAGTCCAGGCCTACACTGTCCACCACAGTCTGGGGCTCCCTGAATGCCTGTTAACAGAAACCCAAAGGGCACAGTCAGTGGGCGTGGTGGCACGTGCCTGAATCCCAACCCTCAGGAGGCAGAGGCAGGCAGATCTCTGTGAGTTCAAGGTTAGCCTTATCTTTAGAGCAAGTTGCAGGCCAGTCTGATATAAATGAAATAAAGAGTACAACTGAGAATAGTGGCCCACACCTGTAGTCTCAACACTTGGGAGGTAGAAGCAGGAGGATCAGGAGTTCAGGGTCATCCTCAGCTACATTGCTAGTTCCAAGCAGCCTGGGCTGCATGCCATTCTGTCCAAAAATGGGAGGAGTCGTGGTCTTTAACACGGATAGCTGTATGGCACTCTTTAATTGCCCTTATACTGAATACCATCCTGCATAAAATAGGATTAAAATACCTTCCCTTCCAGTCTCAGGCCAGGAGACGGCTGACAGTACAGACTTGTCCTTCGTGTGAGTAGAAGAAATGGCTGGCCTAGAACTCATTACATAGCTGAGATTAACCCTGCACTTCTGACCCTCCTGCCTCCACCCGCGGAGTGCTGGGTTCCATGCATGCAAGGCAAACACTACCAACTGAGCTACCTCCCCAGTGCCCAGGTAGAAGAAACCTGCTACCCTGCCTGTTTCCCTGGCTGGGGTGGCCAACACTCACCACAAAAGATAACACAGTGTAATCTACCAGGCAGAAGAGGGGCATTCCTGGACGCCTACTGTTGTATGCCTCTATGGCCTGGTTAACAATATCCTCATATCTTGATTGGATAATGGCCTCACAGGCTACCGCAGCCAAGGCCACCACCAGCACAAATGCCATCCACAGCCTGGCCATTGTCTCTGACACATTGCCACCCTTGACTCCTTTTATTTAGATGATGCTTAGGCTGCCTTGCTGGTGACATAAATGGCTGATGGCCCCAGAAAGAGGGCCCCTTCTTCATTTGGCTAGAGTATGATCAATCAAGTATTGGTCCATATTACAAAACACTGTTGACCAAGAGAGGCAAGGAGGTTGGGCAATACACCAGGACCTTGAAGTGAGTCCTGAGCTAGAAGCAAGAGACTTGTTGGCAGACCAGGCATGCTGTTCACTCTGGGCCTCAATGTCCATGCCGGGCCCCTCCAGACCTGCCCAATCACAGCTCTTCTCTCTCTTCCTGCCTCTTCTTCTTTGATCCCCAGAATAGCTGCCCAGAAGCCATGGACTCCACACTGAGTTCTTCTTCCAGGTTCAGGGGATACCCACAGTGTCACACACATATTAAAAATACATCAGCTATAAAACTCTGAACGTCACTTCTTGGTCTTTATATTTGTTTATGGACTGGGTGTGGTGGCACATATCTTTAATACCAGGGCTTGGGAGACTAGACAGAGCCAGGTAGATCTCTGAGTTCAAGGCAAGACTGGTCTCCAAAGTAAGGTTCAGGCCAGCCAGAGCTACACAGTAGGACCCCGTCTTTCAGAATAAAATGAAGGTATGTGTGGTGATGCTCACCTTTAACCCCAGCACTTAGGAGGCAAAGGCAGGTGGGTATAAATGTTACAGCGCCGAGGAGAAAGGTGTCCTGGTAGTAGGAAGCCAAGTCACACAAGAGATTTATTGGGAAAGAGACAAGGAAGTGGCTGCCTCTGCTTGGGGGAGAAGCAGCAAAGATCTGAGGAGGAGGAAAGCTTTATATAGTTTCTTGTGGAGAGCAGAACTTTCTAGGTGGCCTGGAGTTAGTGGGACTCTTTGGTCTGATCTTAGGCTTTTTCCCCCTGTAGGTCAGAGCTTGGCTTCCAACAACTGGAGGGGCCAGAAGTAAGGGTCACTTGTGCCTCCAGGGGTTATGCCTGGCTCTTGATGTGGTACCTGACCACTTGCAATTAAGGAACTTACAGATGGTCTTTGTGAGTTCAAGGCCAGCCTGGTCTTCCTAGTGAGGCCATGTCTCACTAGGAATACACAGTGATGCCATGTCTCAATAAATAAATAAAATAAACTTACTAAATATTACTATTTAGTGTGTGCACATGCATACACATAGCCATGGCAGGAGTGTGGAAGTCAGGGAACAACTTTGTAGAATTGGTTCTCTTTTTCTACCATGTGGGTCCCAGGATAAAAGTCAGATACAGGCTTGCACAGCAAGGCCCTTTTCCCACTGAGCCATTCTTGGTCTTTGGTTAAGATCAATATAAAACTTGAAAAATTAAGACGTGCTAATCCGTGGCTCCCCCAGTGCCTCCCAGCTTTGACATTAGCATCACTGTGTTTTGCCTCTAGCAGCTAAAAGCCCAAAGGAACACAAATCCTAGTTTGGGGGATAGGCCATTCTAGGAAGCAGCTTGAAAGTGGACCATATGAGGCCTCCTTGTCTTTCTTCTGGAGACTCCCTTGCTAGTGGGAATGGCCTTCAGTCTTCCTACCAGCCCTTGGCTAAGGAGCTGTTGTTCTCCTAAACGGGATCAGAAAGCAGATGAACCAACCTGCCTCCATCTTAAGCTAAAAGCCATCTTCTAGTAAAGACAAACTAGATTGGTTGTTGTTTATGATTAAACCTCTGCTTCTCAAGGATTAGGACATGCCCCCTCCTGTAACCTATGTGCAGATGATTCTGTACTGCCTGTTTCAGGAAAGAGCAACCATGTCTTGGTTTGGCATAGCTTATGTCAATGAATTTATTAAGACATGTAGCATCCTACCGGGCAGTGGTAGTGCATGCTTTTAATCCCAGTACTTGGGTTTAGATAAGACTAACTTGGTTTACAGAGTGAGTTCTAGTGCAGGCTGAGCCACACAGAGAAACCCTGTCTCAAACAAAAAAAGAAAAAAGAAAAGAAGAACAAGAATGGTTTCCTGGGGGTGGGGGCTCTGGTTTGAGGCCCACGGCAGTGTTGACAGGGTAACATAGGCTGCCTCAGACACAGCTGCCTCAGGAATGATAACCAGTCTTTTAGGGTGGAAAGTCAATTTCCTAGGGACAAAAAACCGAACACCTTGGCCTGGTCCCAGCCTCATACTGGACCTTTGCAAGTCTGGCCAGGCAAGGAATAGAATCAGCGTTCACCTTATCCTTTTGTCTCTGCCTCTGAGAGAGTCTTGGCTTGGCTAGGACTTTCTAGGAAGCAGCCACTGGGACGTTAGCACAAACTTGCCTAAATTTCTTGAATATCTGAAGATTCCCCACCCTTGAATAGCAGAGAAATGGGTCCTGGCCCTTCAGCATGGACCTTACCCTAAGAGTGGAGTGTTTGCCCCCTGTACTCTTCTGCTAATCAGTGTGTCTTGGGTGGTTCACATTCATTTGAATGGCAATCTGTAAGGTCTGAGGGGCTTCAGAAAGTAATATTTTTGTGGTTAGAGGTATTAAGGAAGGCTCCTAGGAGAACATACGTCTTCAGCTATACTTTAGAGGGTAGAGGCTTAAACACAGAGAAGGAGAAAAATGGCCACCTGGCTTTGATTGTGGGGCAAAAGAACTGGCCTGGCCTGCCTGGTACAGAGAATTTAGAACTGGGGGGTGTAAGCGCAGCAGGAAGGAAGAGAAATAGACGTTTTGCTGTGATGATGAAAGCCAGGAAGCTTTTACAGTAACCTAGGCCCACATTACAAAAGACTCGACCTAAGTTTGCTACGGTCTCCCACATCTGTCGTGCCAGCACTTGAGAGGCTCTTGAGTTCTTCTGGTCCAGCCTGAGCTGCACAGACAACCCTGTCTCAAAACAAGGCTGGACCTAAGAGCAGAGCTGGAGAAGTGGAAAGAAAGCTATGGACACAGACATGAGCAGGAGGAGAGATGTGTCCCCTGAGGACCTGTTTCGGTACAGGCAGTGGAAAACTGAGACTAAGCCGGAATGTGGTCTCTGTTGCTGCCAGAGCATCTGATCTTTGTCTCATAGGTTTTTGAAGCTGCACTGGCCTGGGTCAGATACGACCGGGAGCAGAGGGGACCATGCCTGCCAGAGCTCCTATCCAATATCCGCCTGCCTCTCTGCCGGCCCCAGTTCCTATCAGACCGAGTGCAGCAAGATGACCTGGTGCGTTGCTGTCACAAGTGCAGGTAAGTGTGGGTGGCCTTGTCCAGGACACTACCCAGGGTCTAGGCATAAAGAGGAGTTGGCCACCTGTCTTAGCTCAAGGAAGGAAGGATTTGAAGCAGTCCGTCTTAATTCACGGTGCATGAATTGCACAGGACTCACGCAGGAGCAGAAGGGACCTTTTCTTCCCTGAGTCATCTATGTGTTCTTCATCTTCTGAGTCCATGAGTGTCCTGTGTCTGCGCTGCCTGGCTGGACCTTCCTCACACCAGCAGCTGACTTGATAGTACAAGTAGGACTTCCTGGGGCTCCTCACTTTCTTCAATAAGTAGTAGCCAAAGCAGTAACCTCTGATGAGTGGGTGATTGAAAAGGAGGGTCTTGTGTGCCGGTGTATGCGGTTTCCACCCAGAGCCACCATCACAGCTCAGAAGATGGGTTTGTTACGCAATTAAAACAGAGAAAAGGCCTATCTTTCCAGTTGCTTGTCAGAGTCACAGTGCATCCTCTGCTGACAGGATGTTTCATTTATTGAGTTCTGCATTATTTTGCCCATAGTTGGGATCAGCGGGTTCGGGGGAAGTCCGTGGCATGGCGCAGGCTTTGTGTGACAGGAAGTGGGGGTGTGTGACTGGAAGGAGCTAGGATGGCCCTGTGATGAGCAGTCTGAAGGGTGATAGCGAGGCATCTGAACTATCTTGTCAGTAGTACATAGCTATCAGAGAAGGCTCTTAGAAGAAGCCATGTGGTCTGTAGGGGCTGGAGAGGCAGACTGGAGGTGGGGAAGTCTGTCTGGAGCACCTGGCAACAGTTGCCACAGTGCAGGTGATGGGTGATTGATTGGAGGATGTAAGCCATGGGATGGTCCTAGGGGTCAGAAGGGAGAGCTGAATGCCGATAGGAAGCAGGCTGTGGAGCTTCCCCCAGCACCTCCATTTTAGCCCCCACACTGGTTTTCAAATCACACCTGATTGATGCCTGTTAGAAGGAGTTGCTCTGGTTACGGTAGCTGGGTTGGCCTCTGCTCTTTTGGCGTCTTCACTTTTGAGCCTGTCTCAATAACCTTGCATGGCTTCCCCTCTTCTCACCTGAATTCTTTTTTGACACTACACCTCACATAAGGGTTGGGGATATCGCTTAGAGGTGGAGCATTCTGACATGTGTGGTCCAAGATTTAATCCCCAGCATAAGAGAGACAGACAGACAGACACTGTAGGTCATATTTTCCAGAAGACTTTTCCCAGATATTCCTACATTTAGGTATGGAGGAGCCAGTGTAAATGTGGAACAAGATGGGAGGTCTCCTCTCTTAGCTTCTTGCTCTCTATTTCAGGGACCTGGTAGATGAAGCAAAGGACTATCACCTCATGCCAGAGCGCCGGCCCCACCTGCCAGCTTTCAGGACTCGGCCCCGATGCTGTACATCCATCGCTGGGCTCATCTATGCCGTGGGGGGCCTCAACTCAGCAGGTATCTTGCAACTCCCCTTTGCAGAGCCCTTCCTAGGACTCCGGATGAACAAGTACAGTTAGGCTAGCCGGGCTTTTCTAATTCTTCTTCCCTATGCTGTTCTGTCTCCTCCTTCTTTTAATATAGTTGCCATAGAGTATAGCTTATTCATACAATATTGAGTTAATGTCAGTGCTAAAGGTGCCTTAAGGAATTAGTTTTTTTTTTTTTTTTGGAGAAGGGTCTTTTTTTTTTAATATTTATTTATTTATTATGTATACAATGTTCTGTCTGTGTGTATGCCTGCAGGCCAGAAGAGGGCACCAGTCCTCATTTCAGATGGTTGTGAGCCACCATGTGGTTGCTGGGGTTTGAACTCAGGACCTTTGGAAGAGCAGGCAATGCTCTTAACCACTGAGCCATCTCTCCAGCCCC